ATGGACACTCGGGCCTGGCCTGATTTAGAACTTCCATCTTCACCTCTCAGCCTCCTGAGAATAGCTAGGATTACGGTGTGAGCCACTGGAGCCAAGCTTTCTAATACTAACAATAATAACAAAGCCTCCCCCTCTTTCTGAATTGCAGCAGAACATGGTAACTCAAACCCATAATCACACCCAGATACTCAGGAGCAGAGATTGGGAGGATCTAGGCACAAGGCCAAAAAGACAAAAAGTTATCAAGATAGCTGGGCGCCAGTGGCTCACACCTGTAATCCTAGCTACTCAGGAGGCTGAGATCTGAGGACCTCGGTTCAAAGACAGCCCAGGCAGGAAAGTCCTTGAGACTATCTCCAATAGACCACAAGAAAACCAGAAGTGGTACTGTGGCTCAGGCAGTAGAGTTCTTGCCTTGAGCTGAAGAGCTGAGGGACAGCACCCAAGCCCAAAGTTCAAGCCCCTTGACCAACAAAAACAAAGTTATCAAGATCCTATCTCAACTAATCATTTGGGTGTGGTGTTCTTCCTAGTGTTTGTCAGCTAACCTGGAGGCACAGATAGAGAGATCCTGGTCCAGGATACAAACACAAAACCCCATTCAAATTATAACTAAAGCAGCCAGGTGCCAATAGATCATACTTGTAATCCTAGCTACTCAGGAGGCTGACATCTACGAGGATCATGGTTCAAAGACATCCAGGGAAGAAATATCTGAGAGAAGCCATTTCCAAACTAACCAGCCAAATACTGAGCTGGAGGGTGGCTCAAGTCTACCACTGTGTGCTGGAGCTGTGGCTCAGATCTCAGCAGCTGTGAGTGGAAAAAGCTCAGTACAAACAAGGCTCTGTGTTCAAACCCTGATAGTGACAAATAAAATTGAATTATTAAAGCGTGAGGCCCTGAGTTCATTCCCCAGTACCACTGCTAAAGGGCATTGATAGCCATAAAAGAATCTATGCAGTACAGAAAGACTTTCTCTACCCCCAACCCCACTCACAGGTAAGGTATTCGTGTCTTTATGAGGAATGATTCCTTGTACATGAACCCATTTGCATATGCCCTCTTTTGGGGACACAGGAACCTGTTGCTCCTCAGGTTTTTTTTTTCACATACAGTGGATCCCAGACATCTTTCTCTATCAGTTTCATTATAACTGGTGAACTATTGCAAAACATCGCATTGTACAAATGTGTCCTGGTCTCTTCTTCAAGGCAAAGTAATGCTCCACCATATCAATGGTTCAGGAGACTGCATTCAGCACTTGTAGAATATCGTCACCAGATGCTGTTAGACAAGTTGACCAATGTAGAAAGACTGTGCAAGTTAGACTCCTGTGATGTCACCTCAGTCCTCAGACAGGAAGGTCACAGTGGAAGTGGCCCTCTTGGCTACTCTGGATTGTGATCCTCTTATTTATGGTTCCCAGCATAGCTGGGATAACAGAGTGGTCACTACACCCAGCTTTTTATGGGTAGAAATCAGGTCTCACTAACATTTTTCCCAGGCTGGTCTTGGATTAGGATCCTCCTGATCTCACTCTCTGAGTAATTGGGACAATGGGTTTAAGACATGGAATCTGTTCTCCATGTTCACCGTAGTGGCCCCAATTTCCACCCCTGTGTCTGGTTTGTAGACATCATTTAAGGTCTTGCCACACTGATTTGAGGAGTTTGCTGAGTCACTGTTCTGTTTTCTGTAGGGATCTTCCCTTTTCTCCTGGAGTCTCTAAGGAGGACCCTGCCTTGTCCCTGGCCAAACTGCTTTATCAGAAGCCTTGTTCTTGTCCTTTCTAGTTGCTTTTTATTTGTCTCTTAGGGAAAAAAAGGCTACCTTTCAAGCTGGCTCCATAAATCCATTTAATTCAGAGTGTTAGAGATTTAGCAGGATATCCAATTGCTGAGCTTTTCACGCTTTATTGGCAGTGTTGGAAAATGCCAGTTTGGTTTTAGACCACTGCCATCTTGGTTCTTATGTGATAATTGAAATTTCTCCCACTGGGCTAGCCTTCTGATTTCCTATGAAGTTGTTCTTTCTTTTCTCTTAGATCCTGAAATATGTGGAGTGTTTCACTGGACCCAATATTATGGCCATACACACCATGCTGATAAACAAGCCACCTGATACTGGTAAAGATGTTTTTCTTTGTTAAGGAGAAGAGAAGAAAAATTATTGAGTTAAAGTATTCAAAGCTGTGGTTCTAACCCTGGTCATATGAATGTATGCAATTTCCTTTCAGTCTTAAAATTTCTTCCTTTATGAGCTGGGAAGGTGGCTCAGTGGTAGAGCACTTGCCTTGTATGCTCGAGGCCCTGGGTTCGATTCCTTAGCACCACATAAGAAAAAAGCTGGAAGTGGCGCTGTGGCTCAAGTGGTAGAGTGCTAGCCTTGAGCTGAAGAGCTGAGGGACAGCGCCCAGGCCCAGAGTTCAGGCCCCAGAGTTCAGGCCCCACGACGGGACCCAAAAAAAAATTGCTTCCATTATTACTACCTTAAAGTCTAATAGTAAATTTATTTCATTATATTCTGTGCTGGTACTTGGGTTTGAACTCAAGGCTGTAAACTCTCATCTCATTTTTTCTGCTTAAGACTCACACTTTTCCAATTTAGCCACAGCTCTACTTCTGTCTTTTTGGTATGTAATTGGAGATAAGAGTCTCACAAACTTGTCTGTCTGAACTGGCTTTGAACCATGATCTTCAGGTCTCAGCCTTCTGAGTTAGGATTACAAGTGAGATCCACCAGAACCTGGGTAATAATGATTTAGTTATGGACTGGAAGGTTAATGCTAAATATTCAGATGATGCAGTTTAACAAAGGTACCTATTTCATGTATCTTAAGCTTCTTAATACATGTACATATTAACTTTATCAGCCAGTCTGAGCCATGAGAATACAGATTCAGCATTTTGATCTCAAAACTGCATTAATTATCTCTAACACTTAAAGCTCCGATATAAGTCACACATGATTGTTCTTAAGATGTCTTGTTGCTTTTGTAGATTTTGAGACCTGATTTCCAGAGAGACTGATGAAGAAGTACTGCCCAAGTTTCTCAATTTGTTTTTATTTTTTTTGTGCTGTCCTGGGGCTTGAACTCAGGCCCTGGGCACTACCTTTGAGCTTTTTTGTTTGTCTCATTCTACCATTTGCACCACAGCTCCACTAATTGTTTCTTACTGGTTAGTTGGGGATAAGCATCTTAACGACTTTCCAGCCTGGGCTGTCTTTGAATCATGATCATCTGATCTCAGCCTCCTGAGTAGCTAGGCTGGAGTCACCAGTGCCCAGCTGTTTCTCACTTTTAATAATTTCTCAGAGATTCTCCAGCAGGTGGCGCTTGGATTGCACTGAGAAATCCTCCTATACCAGCAGACTCCAGCCCCATGTCAGCTCCTTTTCTCTTTTGCTTCCTTCTGACAGCAGAAGAGATTTATGTGATTGGACAAGTGCTTTGTGTCCAACTCTCTTTCTCCATGGCATCTCATCTGGAGAGATAGAGTAGAGCTCAGAGAAATGGCCACATGGATAAAACAGAGAAAGGGCCACTTCCAGACACCACACCAGATGACTAGCATTCTGTGAGGGGAATGTCCTGCAAGTCTGTTTGTGACATTAGTGGCTTAGAAGAGGACCTCCACCTTGTCCCTGTGCCATTGTCTTCAGTTTAATTCACCCCAATTTTTTTAAATAGTGGATGTTACTTTTGTGCCAAATCCAGAGTGAAAAAAGACAAAAAGGCAGCTGGGCCGTGGTGGCTCACATCGATATTCCTAGCCACACAGGATGTTGAGATCTGAGGATCACAGTTCCCCGCCAGCCTGGGCAGGAAAATTTGTGAGACTCTTATCAATAATTAACCACCACAGAAAGTCAGAAGTTGAGATATGGCTCAAGTAGTAGAGGGCTTTTCTTAAGCGAAAAGCCTCAGGGGCAATGCTTAAGCACTGATTTCAAACTTAGGACAAGTGTGCATGCACACATGCACAAACACATACACACACTAAAAGAAATAAAAAGAGGAAGAAAGCAATTTAGTGCTAATGTGTGACTTGCTAGAGTGAAGCACTTGGCTACCAGTAACTCAAAAGAAAGCAGTTGAATTAGGAGCCCTTGTATTAACATGCTACGTCAATTTGATGCCTATCTGTTAGGACTGATTTTCCACAGTGTAGTTTCCTTTGTTTGCTTTGTGCAGGAATAAGTCAGTGCAGTGGTTTTTCAGGACTAGGGTAAGAACTCTGACACTTGAGCATCTTTTGAGAGCACATTGTTTTCCAGGCAAGAAGACATCCCGGCATCCCTTGCACCAGGATCTGCACTACTTCCCCTGCGGGCCCAGCAATCTCATTGTTTGTGCGTGGACCGCGATGGAGCATATTGACCGGAACAATGGTTGTCTGGTTGTGCTCCCAGGCACCCACAAAGGCTCCCTGAAACCCCATGATTATCCGAAGTGGGAGGTAGGTTTGCCTGGCCATGGGGTCTTGGTCAGAATCCCTTTCTCTCTTTGTATTTCATACCAGTATTCATGAAGAGCTGAGGCATGAGACTGCATTTCCTTTTTTAGAAATGCCTTCTCCTGGGATTTGCAGTGAGGATCAGGGCAAGTTTTAACCCTTATAACTTCCAGGAGAGGCTCTGGGAATGGCAGATGTTGGGGGCAAGCTTTTAATAGTATGATATCATTCTCTGTAACAATGAGGGTCTATGGAGGTGTGAGGGTCAAGGGTGAGCAGCAGCCTCACAGGGGAGCAGGAAAGCAATGGAGCTCAAGGTCCAGAGGTACATTTGGAGGACTAGCAGAGGAAAGCCTGGGAACATAGGGGACTGGATTAGAAACCACTTTATCACTGACTTTTCCTGTTCATATGGGAGACAATGGAGGCTGTGTAGTTGTTATTGATTGCAGTTCTGGTGTTTGAACTCAGAGTCTAGAGCTGGTGAGGCAGTTAATCTACTACTTAAGCTATCACCCCAGCCCTTTTGCTTTCAGTTTCTTTTTCATATAGGATCTTGCACGTTGGCTCTGGCTAGCATTGGATCTCAACCCTCTGCCTCTGCCTTGCAAGTAGTCTTGCAGTCTTGTGCCATTATGCCTGGCCCAAGAACCTGGTTATTGTTGTTGTTGTTGTTGTTAACAACGTAGAGAGATCTTGTTTCTAAGTTTTATTTCCATAGTATAAACTGTAGCTATCTTAAATGTGTAATTGACTATCTCACACACACATTACTTTAGTGAAGAGAATCTCTTCCAACCCCTGCCCGAGGCAACTACTGAGCTGCGTTCAGTTCCTATAGATTAGTTTTCATTTCCTAAATGTTATATCCATGCTATTGTCTAGAACCTATTTTTCTTTGGTGTGGCTTCTTTGACTTGGGATGGTTATTTTGAGCTTCACTAGTGTTGGTGCAGCTGAGTAGTATTCTGTCGCATCCTGTACTATGATTTGTTTGCCACTTTAGCTCATGATGCTGAGAAACCAATATGTGTTTTTGTGACCACAAATGATGTGACCCAATGGGCTCTTCACAAATGGTCATCTCTCAGTCTGACATAGGATGCTTTGGAGGCCTAGGAGGCCAGAGAACCAGAGAGAGGATTCCTGGGAATTTAGGTATAAAGCCAGAGGATCCTGGGGCTGGGGGTTTAGCCCAGTGGAATGGCGTCCACCCAGCGTGCGCAAGGCCCTGGGTTCGGTCCTCAGCCCTGGAAAAACTAAAAAAAAAAGCCAGAGGATCCTGAAATCCTTGGTGGTGTCAGAAGGCTTTGGCTAAAGAGAGCCACTAAGTTCGGGTTCTGTATGGATTAGAAGAATATGCCTCCACTCAAAAAGAAAGAAAGAAAGAAAGAAAGAAAGAAAGAAAGAAAGAAAGAAAGAAAGAAAGAAAGAAAGAAAGAAAGAAAGAAAGAAAGAAAGAATATGGCTCCTGTCTTAGTAAGTTGGAGATCTTGTAGCAATGATTGGAATTCTGTGACAGTATTTGTGGAGATATGTCTTACTACATTAGCATTCTTGCATGAATGAGTAGAATTAGGTGAAAATGAGTGGAGCATGCATCCTGGTATACAACCTGGACTTGTGAAGCTCATCAGTGAAAGGTTAGGGAAGGGTGGACGTGAGTAAGAGCAGCAAGCTCTGGCTCACTTGAGTCAAAGAACAAGGTTTAGAGGACTTGCGGGGCAGCGTGTCAAGTGAGGCTGCTGGCTGAGGAGCACTGGTGAGAGGTCAGCTTGCTTGGGCAGAACACATCCACCTTGGCTGGGAGAGAAGGGCACAGGTCAGAGCCACGGCCTTTTCCTGTGGGTAAATGGCCATTTCTCCAAAGAAATATGGGATGGTCTCTGCCAACCCTATCTGACTCATAAGATTTAGAACATAATTATGAGTTTCAATTCTTTAATAAACATATAATAGACTTAGGGAATACTTGAAAGCAAGTTTAATGTCAATTGACCAGAAAGTATTCCTGGGCTGGGAGGTGCATTGTGGTAGAGCACTTGCCTTGCATGCATGAGGCCCTGGATTGGATTCCTCAGCACCACATAAGCAAAAAGAAAAAAGCCGGAAGTGGTACTGTGGCTCAAGTGGTAGAGTGCTAGCCTTGAGCTGAAGAGCTGACGGACAGGGCCCAGACCCAGAGTTGAGGGCCCACGACAGGCCCCCCTCCCAAAAAATAAATAAAATAAATGTATTCTTTATCTGACTTATGTAACTCTAATGTTTTTGTATAACACCTTCATAATAATAACATAAAAATTTTTAATGAAAACAAGTATTATGTTTATATTTACTATTATTTGCTCTAGATATACCATAAATGATCTTAAATCGGAGCATCTTCACTCTGTTTTAGAAGAAGGTAACAGGCTAGTAGAAAGAGAAAAAGAAGAATGACTTTTCTTTTCTTTTCTTTCTCTTTTTTTTGTTGGTCATGGGGCTTGAACTCTGGGCCTGGGTGCTGTCCCTTAGCTCTTCAGTTCAAGGAGCAGACTCTCTACCACTTCAGCCAAAGGGCTACTTCTGGTTTTCTGGTGGTTTTTATTGGAGATAGGAGTCTCCAGGTCTTTCCTGCCGGGGATGGCTTTGAACCTCCATCCTCAGATCTCAGCCTCCTGAGTAGCTAGGATTACAGGCGTAAGCCACCAGTGCCCAGCGAAGAATGACATTTTTATAAAGTTCTGTAGAAGAAAAATGTCACAGGAGGGAAGAATGTTACAGAACCAGACTAGAAAGGCATCCAAGATGTTCACCTATGTTAAACACCAGAGCCAGGGTGTTCCGGGTCAGTTGATAGGGTAGGAAGGATAGAGTAGGAATTCAGAATTTTTCATTGGGTCCAAAAGTAAAATCAGTGATTTCAATATAAGCACATGGCAGAGGTGAAGGGTAAACAAAGGAGGAGGCTGCAATGCTTGGTAAGAAATGTATGCATTATCCTGTCCATGTAATTGTAACCCCTCTGTACAGTATGTTCACAAATAAAATAAAATTAAAAAAAACACAGCCATTTGAGGCTGGTTTTTGTTCGTTCATTTTTTGGTGATGATCCTGGAGTTTGAATCCACAGCCTACTGTGTGTCTCTTGACTGGATCACTCAAGGGTAGCACTCTACCACTTGAGGCACAGCTCCACTTCTGGCTTTTTGGTGATCAATTGGAGACAAGAGTCTCATGCAGTTTCCTGCTTGGCCTGGCTTTGAATTGTTTTCCTCAGTTCTCAGCCTCCTGAGAAGCTAGGAATAGAGGTATGAGCCACAGAGCAGGGATAAGGAGCTTTAGTATGATATAAAATATAGACTCTTACTGGGATCAAATTCTAATTTAAATTTGGAATGTAATTATAATCTAAATTAGAACCTAATTTAGACATGTCTTTCTCTTGGAAGAATTTAGAGACCCTTGCTTTCTCTGCGTCACTGACTAAGTTTTAATCACGGAGGCCTCTCCCATGTAGACATGGCTCCTGTTCTCTTTTCTAGGGAGGAGTTAACAAAATGTACCATGGGATCCAGGACTACGATGAGAACAGTGCCCGCGTGCACCTCGTGATGGAGAAGGGAGACACTGTTTTCTTTCACCCCTTGCTCATCCATGGATCTGGACGGAACAAAACTCAAGGGTTCCGGAAAGTAGGCATTCCCATCGCTGCTCCCATTGGCAAAGATGGATGTGTTGGAAGCAAAACTCAAGACACAGCCGGGCACTGGCAGCTTATGCCTATGATCCTAGCTACTCCTTGAGCAAAAGAGCTCAGGAACACAGCCCGGGACCTGAGTTCAATCCCCACAACTGGAAAAAAAATCCAGATGCTGGTGTCTCACATCTGTAAACTTAGCTTCTCAGGAGGCTGAGATCTGAGGATCAAGGTTTGAAACCAGCCTGGGCAGAAAAGTCTTTGTGTGACTCTTATTTCTGATTAACCATTGAAAATCCAGTGGTGTAGTTGTGGCTGAAATGTTAGTGCACTAGCAAAAGATCTCAGTGAGAGCCAGCAAGCCGAGTTGAAACCATATGTCTGAGGTTTAAAAAAATCAAGATGAATTAATCTTTATAGTATTCATTAAACTAGAGTCTAGCCTAGTTTATTCACCAGGAATAAACTTCCTTCCTTCCTTGCTCCCTTCCTTCCTTCCATCCTTCCTTCCTTCCCTCCTTCCTTCCTCCTTCCTTCCTCTTTTACTGTTTCTTTCTTTCCTTTCCATCCTTCCCTTTCATCCTTCCCTTCCTCCCTCCTAACTTCCTTCCTCTTTTTCTTTTTTTCTTTTCTTTTTTTTTATTGTGAAAATACTGTACAGAGGGGTTACAATTACATGGGCAAGGAAATGAGTACATTTCTTTTCAAGCATTGTTGCCTCCTTTATTTCCCTTTCCCATCCCTTCCCATCCCCCATCAAAGTTGTAAAGTTCATTTTTTTTAAATTTTTTATTGTAAAGATACTATACAGAGGGTTACAGTTACATGAGTGAGGTAATGAGTACACTTCCTCTCGAACATTGTTAGCCCCTCCATTGTTTTCCCCCTACCATCCCCTCCC